GAGAGAGAGAGAGAGCATGGTTATTTCTAGGCATTGAGCAAATTATATATTATACCTATTAATCAACATCCATGGAAAGAGAAGCCCAAAGTACAGGAACATTTGGAGAAATGAACAAAAATCAAATGATCCATGATCAAAGAATACGACCCCAAATAATTGAATAGAAACACTAAGTTCCAGCAAACATTAAACACTTAGGGCATTTCATAAGCAAGTACATCCATTGCCCATTTTCAAATGGTGAGAAAATAACAGAGAAGAGAGAAAAAAAAACTAAGAAGACCCAAATTGAGAGTCAACAGAGAGGGAAAACCCCAAAAAAAAACTTGTACCCTAAAATCATGGGGTATAAGAGCTCTAAGCTTCAAAAGCTCAAGAACAAACACAGAGATCAATAACAAGAGCCCTTTGCTTCAAGAGCTCAAGAACAAACACAATGATCAATAACAGAGAGAATAAAGTGCATATCTCAAGATCAATGGCAAGGATCACAGATTTGCCTGACACAATGGCGTGCTGGGCTGGCTCAGCGGCGAGATGGGAAGTTGCGAAAAGAGGGGAGCTCAACGAGGTGGGCGCACAACGGCGCAGAGAGGAGTGCTCAGTGGTGTGGGTGCTCAGCGGGGGGGTGTGCTCAGAGATTAGGGTTTTATTGAAGGGGAGGGGTGATCTGGGTTATCGAATGGGGAGGAAGTTTAGAGCTTCCTATTTTAGGTTCCGACCTTTGGGTCGGAACTTTTTTTACACAGGGGTGTGTAAAGGTGAAAACTTTCGATTTGGGGTTCTCATTTTTATCAATCACGAAAAGTTGAGAAGTTCTCAACTTCCAGAAGCCACTTCCTATTATCAAACACGCCCTTAGTGTATTGTGGAGAAAGATTTTTAACATCGAGTTGATGTAGGTCCCATCCATAGGTCACAACCAATGATAAAGCAATGCGGATAGTTCCCATCCTTACCACAGGGCCAAAAGTCTCATCATAATCAAGATCATGCTCTTGTGTGCATCCATTGGCCCCAAGTCTTACTTGTAAGTGTTCTATGCTCCCATTGACATTGTATTTGACTTTGCACACCCATCTAGAAGCGATCACATTCCTATGAGCTGACCAAATTTATTCTTTCACATTCAAGTGAAGAGATAACTTTGGTTTGGGCTTTAGATGAAGAAAGAAATCCACGGTGGGCTAGGATATGCAGAGTTAGACACCTTGAATTAGGTTTTTAAAGTGGGATATTTTGAGTCTTAGGAGTGATTTTAGTCTGTGAGAGAATTTAGTGTTCTGTAATTATATGTGGATGATATTGTTATTATAGGTAATTCTCCCGCTGTTGAGAACACCACACAACTTTTATACGATACTTCTAGATGAAAGACCTTGGAACTCTCCAGATATTTTCTTGGTATTGAGGTGGATAAAAGACCAAATTCCTTAAACTCGACCCAACATAAGTATGTTGTTAAGCACATAAGAATCCAGACTTGTAGACCAACATATAGATCTTTTCTCCTCATCTCTCACCTAAAGGATAACGCAAGGGACCCATTGCCGCATCCTAAGGACTATAGCAGCATTGTTGGAGTGCTAAAATATTTAACTTTTACCATGCCTGATCAAATTCCTCAGAAAAAGCATTTACGCAGGACGAGCCACATAGAAACCATGAAGAGCACTCTACCGTACATCAAAGCAGCAACCATAGATGGACTTGTTTATTCAGGTCTTGCTTTGCCCTCTTCACCAACATCTTCAGTGATGACCGCCTGCTCCGACCCTGATTTGGCAGGTGACTCAACACTCACCTTTCTATTTCAGGGTGTTGTGTCTATCTAGGCTCTCATCTTGATTCCTGGAGTAGTCAGGAACATTGGATTGTCACTTGATCTAGTGCAATGGCCGAGTACAGCCCCATGGTAGCTGTCTTTGGCTCAACACCTTCGCACTGAATTGGGACAAAACATTTCTTCACTATTTTATTGTGACAATTGCAACACTATGTCCATAGCATTGAATCCCATTCACCACAGCAAGACTAAAGATATAGAGATAGACCAACAGTTCCTTTGAAAGAAGATCGAGGATCAAGAAATTGAAGGCGTTTCTTGAGCAGTGAGCACCAAATAGCATACATTTTTTTTTTTTGAGAACTCCAAATAGCATACATTTTTACCAAGGCACTTACCTTATTAGAAATTTGTTTCTCAAAGCCCAACTGTCCATGGTCTTAGCATACATCCATGCCCAGTTGTTGTTGTTGTTGTTGTTGTTTTTTTATTTTTAATTTTTTTTTTATTTTTATTTTCTTGGGGTGGGGGGGATACTGTTGGGAATAATTGTTTGATGCAAGGATGTAATTTGTAATATTCATTATGTAGAAGTGTAGCCTTATTATCTGACATACCTTAACTCATTTGAAATACACACATGCACACACAATTATATGCATATAAATATCAGTTGAGCTGGACGTCCAACTCTAATACACACAAGGTTGGAATCACATTCATTGGGGCCACAAACCTGTTTTCTCACTTCCTAATCAACACCAAACATCACTCTCATACTGTCAAGTAAGGGATGTCTGGCCGACAAATCCATACATGTACCTAAACCATGCAGTCCCCAGGTTATCTCTTTGCCAATTTCATACTCATATAGCCTAAAGATTTCATCTAAACTCTCAGACTTAAGAGATCATCTTCCATGATCAACATATCATCACATATACAAGAAACGACAGAATACCACAATTGCGAGATGGATAATGTTAAGACTAACCAGATAATGTTAGGACTGACCATTGTCATTCTGTTAAGAACCACTAACCCCATAATTAAGAGCCATGCCCATTCCCAAAAGTGTCTCCAACGGGGTAAAGCTTGCAACCTAAACTTAGACTACAGTTCTTCTCTTACATGAGACTAATGGCATCAATCTAATTCACTATATAAGCTCTTCTGGAATTTCTATGCAAACTTGAATGGATCAAACTTACTAATCAAATGTATCCTTCAACCTACATATGCATATGAACACGAAAACCAGATATTTTTGGGTAAATATTCTCAATAGAAAATCATAAACATTTGATATACTAAATGGATACTTAATTGAGAGGTTCGGAAATGGTATCATTTATCTTTTAGAAAATCAGTCCAAAACCATTTTACTCCAACAGCTATAGCTGTACATCTGCACCACTTAGGGACATGCAAAAATCTTAAACCACCTTAGTAAGAGCATCCAGAAGTGCATTGTCTGTTGCTCGTTCAATTGCAGTTTGTTCCACTTCCTTACATGTTTGCAGTATTGACTGCCTGACCTGTGCATTTAATCATAAAGATAACTGTCACAACAGAGATACAATGATGTTGTAAGGCAAAACACCATGAAGGTCTTAGAGAAAATGATGACACTATAACTTAGGATAAAGGATAATCTCACAAATAGAACCACCAGAAAGACAAACCTCACTCAAGGTGCTACATCCTGAAATAAGTTTGCTAGCAAGGGAGTCATCCAAAACTGGTAAATCTCTATAAAATAGCTCCTTGCATTCAACCTGAAAGGTAAGCGTTTGCCATCAGTGTAATGGATTATACTAAGAATTAAGAAATCAGCTACGTAACATGAAGGTTAAACTTTTTAACAACTTATGTATAGCAGCTTGAAATAAAAACTCTTATCTTTTACATTATACTCTCCGTCGGGCTCTTAAAACGAGGAGAGAAATGGGGCCTGATTGAGAGTTTAGACAACGCAAAACCTTCTTTAGATAACACAGCAAGGATTAGAGATGTAGCCTAGAGGCTGGCACACGTATACTCCCTCAAAGACATTATGAAAGACAACACCTTTTCCATTAACCTAAAAGATGTCCATGGGGGCATGGGCAACTGTAAGCATGATGCAGATGATAGTCGTCTGGCTACCGAGGACTGTACTCAAATTGAATCCTACATGATTTCTGTGTCCTTCCATAAACAATCAGGCCTAAAAGCAGTTCAGAGTCCCATCAAAATTCAGTTTCATTGTGAATTTGCAATCGGTGTGTTGTTTATTGCAAGGAAAATGCACTAGAGTGCAAGGGTCATTAGCTGTAAGGCATAGTAGTTCCTGGAGGTGGCCTCTCTGAAAATGAAATTCAGTGGCTTGCTAAGAAAGGGACAGAAGGGCTACCCATGATACAACAAAGGAAGAATATGTATGTTTGGAGATATAAAGACTATATTGGATTAGTGGACCTAGGAAGATGGCTCACGAGATTTACAACTAGTCCAGGAAGAGGAGCCTTAATGAAGCCAGCTTCCACAATTGTTAATACAACTGAGATGTCAAAAAGAGGACTAGCGAAGAAGACGAGCCAGCATATTGAACCACACAATTATGAGTAATTAAATACCACATTTTAAGGGGACGTAAGAGCACAAATTATAAAATTCTTTTTGAGGGATTGGATTCTATAAGACCATTCATTTTTGGTACAAGTGGGTCAAATCCATCTTAGCCATTGGATGTGAAATCGAATAGATTGAAGTGCCACAACATTAAAGATTTTTTTTTTTATTATTATTATTATAGGGGGGGGGTGGAATTGTACCCAGTCAATGACACATCTCCAACTATCTGATTTCACATCTAACAATCAGTAATGATTGAGACCTCCTTATACCAAAAGTAAATCAACTTATTGTATACATTTCTGTGTTTCAAACACCAAATTTACCTCAGAATTGAATAACTATGCCAGAGGTACAGGAAACGTAGTATTGATGCTTCAGTTTAGACTTTAGAGATAGCATCAAGTCAGAGTGAGCACAAGACACTTCAGGGATAGATGTTACTTTTTGGCAGCCAAAAGATTTCCATGTGGTTTGTAAGGTTCTATGTTTCAGTTCACAGGATCATACACGTTTAGATTTAAGGGCATGACTCACTGATTGTGTGAATGGTCATAATAGTTTTATACTCTGTCATATCCGATAAGAATTTTCTCACAATTCTTTGTTTTTAACATTGAGAAAATTGTGAACGAAAAAGTAGAGTCTCTATCTTCGGAAGCTGTTAGAACTCAGGAAAGTAATATTTCATAAAACCGATGATGTATGGAATTCTATAGGACCATGTTTGACAATACAGTGAAATCCCAAAAAAATCTTCCTTATGTCATAAAATATGCGCTACAGCTCTCTAAGTTGAATCCAAGAAGAAAAACTCACTGTAAATTGAACACAAATACCCCGAAGGTTCTCTTGTTTCCATGATTCTGGAAATACAAGCCTAAAGGGCTTCGTTTCACCTATTCCAATCCCCATTATTGAGTCAAGGAATCCAGGAAGAAGGTTATCGGCTCCTTCCGTATCCAAGTGAAACCCTACAAACAGATATTTCAAGACATTAAACATTAAACCAAGTGGGAGTATAACAAGTTATTTCATGTCAATTCCTTTTTAATTAAAAAACAACTTTATGCAATGTCACTAAATAATATGATAGCCATTTACTGCTTCTGGTTTCGACAAATCCACATCACCAGTATTTCATAGTGAAAACAACATAAATACTGCAATCTATTTGGAAAACTACAGAATACCAAGTTCCATCACACCATTTTCTTCAACCCCATTTATGCAACCTTAATAGTTAGATAAACAAAGGAGTAAATATCAAACAGGAAAAGATAAATACAGCCCCACCATGAAATGGGGGCCTTCCAGATAAGTTTTCAAAAAGTGTAACGTTGTTTTGGCATTTTATGGAAGAAAAACTCTTTTAAGGGGTTCCTGAGTGACCTGAAAATGACCTCAATAATCCTACCCAAAATATAATTTTTGAGGCCTTCTGCGACCAGGATATGGAATATTTTAGGACCTTCCGATACAGCTCATACTCAAGAAGCAACAAAGACATTTCTACCACAAATTACAGGGCATATTAGATAGCTGGTTCAATAAACCACAAGGGCTCTCTGATAATTTTGAGAGTTAAAAGACAAATTTTAAGCCCCATAAAATAGGAGTTACTATCCAAATCTTGGAAGAAATGGTCACTAGTTACTCCTATTTAAAGGACTCAAATTTTAGAATGATCCCTTTTATATATCTCAGATAAATTTTACCAATAAATAATTGCCTGTATTTATGAATGAAATGTTGCAATTCATCAATTATTTCTAATGAGGTGAAAACATGTCAAGGATCAAAAATATAGGGGAACCCTCATGCTTTCAGTTCAACAAGTCATTAAGTGCATTTTTACCAATCTTGGCCAACCAGAAATATTTCCGTAGATCACTTAATCATGAATATAATCATGCATATCACATATTCTGTCTCATTTTAAAATTGCTTTTGCTTCAACTGGTATTTTTAGTTCAAGGCCACAAAGCTGGTCCATCTTGGACTTCTAAATTTACATGGGTAGTAGGATCAGAGCTTCCAATAGAATATTGAAGATGCACAACGAAATATTTCAGGAAAAATCGAGAACACATAGAACAAAATTATTGGCAATCACTGATTAATTCAATTACTTCATGCATACATAATGGAAAAGTAAAATTGCGCTTGAAGAAAAAAGTTGGGTTATATATTTGGAAAGTGAAATCAACAATAAAGCCATAGCAGAAGCCTCAATAGATCATAAAATGCAAGGAGACAAACCCTTGCTCTCAGCTGATGGGATGCTTTCACCAGTGGATTCATCTTCCTTTACCATGTTAGCATATATATCAAGGACAATAACATCTCCAAGCTGAGATTTTGGAAAGAGAAACGCACCACAAGTTAGTAAAACATTTCTTAAACAAGCAGCTGTTATTACACCAGATATTCCTGCTTTAAAATGGTATTGCAGTTTCTTTTCGCTCGATCATAAACAAGCTAACCAGAGATTCCAACATCAGAGGCAATTTAAAGGCATCTGGCCACAGTGAGTATCATATCGACACTAATCATTATATCAAAAGAGAGAAGACATATTAGCAAAAGGGTAAGCTTGGACTTGAACCTTGAGATAGTGTGTGATGCTTACAACCAAACCACAATTTCAAAATCCCAAAACCCAAATAAAGGAAAACATCCAGGTGATGAAATTTCCAAATGATATTCAAATACATCCTGTTGATGTTCTATGATGATTCTCCAAGTTTATATATAAGTATGTCCATATGGGTATTTAAGCAAGATTACAGCAAAGAAGGAAATAAACAAATTCCACCAATATTCAGCTAACAATTTCAAAAAAAAAAAAACAAATTACACCAATATTCATGATTGGGTGCAGTTTGTATCAAGCCGAGGCTCTAAACAATCAAAGTAGAGCGCACCTGCAAATAGTGTCGAGAAATATGGTTTCAATATTGAAAATATTTGTGATAGCCTTAAAATATATTTTCATCTTTAATTACATAATTTAAAGCTTCAAAAATAGTGTAGATCGAGCAGAGCTATGAAAACTTGAAAATCTTGAAAATTGACGGTCCAAAAATGTGTTAAAAGATGCACTATTTCCAAAATTTGAAATCCATTTTTTTCTCATGTCTATGCATCTCAATGTCAAGAAGATCAATTTGAGGATATTTGGGCATCAAAACAACCTCTTCTAGTGAAATTTTTGAGGCAGGCTCCAATTCTATTGTTTAGAGACTCGACTCTATATAAACTTTTTCCTTCATGATTTAGTGTAAAGCATGACACAGGAGCAAAGTTTCACAAATGTTAACACTCTCCAGCTTACAGAATACTGCCACAGCATCAGACTTCCAGTTCCCAGAGATAGGTATTCAAAATATCCTATAGCCAAACCATGTTTGATGATGATTCCTCAACGTTAGGTCTAAGAACATTGCAAAAGTACGAAGTGTACAGAAATCTACATACATCCCAAAAAAATCTGGCTCCATGGTAATTGAAAATGATCATTCTTTGATGTAGTTTTTTACATTATGTACTTTAGTAGACCTCTAGGAAAGATCAAGAGTTCATGTGACAAAGCAGTAGAACAATAGAAAGAAGTTACACAAAATGAATACCTGTAAGCCTCTATCATTTACAATCCTCATTGGGCCTATAGCCTTATAACGACGGCTTAGCTCGGTTTCAGAAGCTTTTTCTGCAATTACTTCCTGATCTATTTCAACGACAACTTTTAGGTGTTTGTATGCATCCTCAGAGATCCATTTGACTTCCGGAGCCACATCAACCACAACTTCATACCTTTGAGCACAAAGACAATCATTTAAATAATAGAGTTATGCAAGGTTTCAAAAAACGGACCACCAGGCACCTAGGCATCCAAGAAACCTTAGGCCGCACATCTAGCCTAGGTGCCCATTCTTGGTGGCTGTACTTGGGCCCCCAGGGCTGTGGGCTTTTTTTTAATTTTTAAAGATGTCCGAAAGGGCAAAGGGGTAATTTTGACCCCCCCAAAAAGTTTAAAAAGAGTGTGGGGGTTATTTTCAACCCCCCAAAATCAAAAGAACACTTCCATAAGCCTTAAATCTCTTAGCTATACTTATATATGAGAATCCAAAGTATTTTTTATGGTTTGAAGAAGAATCCTAAACGTTTTCTTTTCTCATTGGAATTGTATTTAGGGTGCTATTGGAGGTTGAAGAGTTGGACTCCATATTATTATGGAACATGGACAGTTGGAGACTATTATTAATACATAGACTAGACTTTTAAATTTTTTTAAATTTTCTATGATTTGAATTTTGAAATTTTGAACAGGTTTCTTCTTAACATGGTATATTAAGAAAGTATCTTACAATATATACAAATGCAATAAATTATAGAATTGACAGAAATATATGCATATATGTACGTTTGGACAGCATATATATATATATATATGTATATATCTAAAGAATTTGCACTACAGGGCACCTGCCTAAGCGTTGGGCACCAGGCTGGCCACCTAGCGTTTTTTGAAACCTTAGAGTTATGATAGCACATGAAACAAAGTAATTTCTCAAGGAAAATACTTCAACCCTCACTCAATAAAGATTCTAGATTGCCTTCGATGTTCAAATAGGTGAAAGCCGCAGATCCTTACAAGAGGCTGATAATAAAACAAATAAGAGTTTTACAGGAGGAGTGTCCTATGCTAGTTAAAGGTAGCCTTTTATAATAACAATTATACAGAAGAATCCAAGTAGAGAAAACAACTTAGGGACAATGTCATTTCCAGTACATAAAATCAAACAAATGGGTGAGAAGCATAGCCATGAAGTGTACCTCATATTTCTAACCAATAGTTTGAGTGGAAGAACATACTGCGTTATATCAGTACTTAACATACCTGAGATATTCTGAAGGAGAAAAGTCTTCCTCTAAATCAGAAAATTTGGTCTTAATGCGAACAGAATCTTTCAGTGCCCTTCCCTCAACCTAAATAAAGAAAATCAAGAACATGGGCATTATACATACCAAGAACTGACGAGTTCCAAATATATTCACATCTAACCAGTTTTGTGCTGGTTGTTAGGAAGAAAAGGAACAGTAGTTATTCTTTTGAGGTATAATATTTATTGAAATATGTCAAAACCTAGATTGTCACAACAAGAGTACATAATGTTGACTATTTTAAATTTTTATGGAAGCCCATGAATAATGAAATAAAACTAATTAATGAAGACCTTTTGTCATTCAATGAAAACTAAAGCAACCAAGCCATTTCCATCGAAAGGGATTGTGTATCAGTTATCATAGCATATCCCATATAAAAATTAGAAGTCATTTTCATAATGAAGAACAGATAAATGAGAAGTCATTTCTAAACATGAGGTTGCAAGAAATAAGTATGCATATATGAGATTGTCATTCCGCATTCTTTTAATTCTACCAACAACGTAACCACAAGAATAAACTTTAAATAAACTGGAAAAATCAAAATTGCATTATGAATAGGCAGCACTCAATTGAAAATAAGGTACCAAGTTGACGCCTCCACAACCAAAGTTCCACAACACATAAATAGGCATCTAGATCTCTAACCACATAAATTTTGGAGGAAGTGTAAAGGAAAAAGTCTCTCTTCATGGACGATAAAAGTAAACAAGCTTCAAGAAGTATTAAGTTCCATAAAGAAACTAAACAAACATCCAGGAGTACAGACAAACACATATTCTTGAACTTCAAAAATCTCCTTATCCTTTTATAGATCAAGACACCACCTATGACTTAGAATAACTTGTCGTCCCGAATGAAATTCTCTGTAATAGTCTCCATATTTGCAGATCCCTACACATATAATGCTCTCTCCCTCGGTCATTTAACTTATTGCAGCCCATATGTATTACACTCGCAAGAATTAGAAACTTATAGTGTGCATTTGTAGCTAGTTTAGGGCCTCATTGAGGGTAGAGTAGAATGGCAGACCAGGACTCGTGTAGCCAACTCCAATTAGTTGGGAAAAAGCTCTAATGATGATGAGTTAGCTTACTGGTACATGCTTTTCGCATATTCTTCTCAAACCTTCAGTTTAATTGGGTCATTAAGCAAGGAGAAATTCTATCTATCTTAGAAGTAATTTTCTTTCATTTTCAGATGATAAGTTACTTTGCTGTATGCACATTTAACCAAAAGGTCCTACCGAAATCTAAAAATGGCACATATTCAGGCTATTTAATGGTGACTTAGGGTGAAAAATCACTATAAAGCCGATTCTTAGGGGAGCTTATTTTTTGGCCCAGCACACCCAGTTTGTTGAGACTTGAGAGTAGTTTACAGACATCCTAAAAAGAACTAGATGCAGCATGCGGATGTGTCGTTCCAATTACTCTCCTACATTTCATGAATAAAGGTACTTCTAAAGCAACAACACATTTTGTCTTACTTTTTTTGTATTGTTTTAGTGGCTAACCAGCATTCCCATATTTCATCATCATCATCCGAGACCTATTCCCATGTTTAGTGGTTGCAAATAAATAAAGAAACTTAATATAATGGGTCTGGCGGGCAGAAAGTACTCCTCAAAGCATCCTTACATTCAATGGCTCCATATGAGGCTCGTGCTTGTATTTTGCTACATTCCAGAAACTTGAGGCTGCCTCAACCACGAATATGTCTAAACCTTGTGCAGGTAATGCTTCTAAAACTTCTTGTCATCTCAGTGCTTCACCTTTCTCTTGAATCATTAACTCATGGAGTAGTTATCTTATTCTTGTCTTGTCATAATGCCACTTTTATTAAAGGGAGTGAAAGAAGTGGCTATGTGGAAGTTCAGAGAGCAAAAGAAAAAACTATATCTATTTCTTTTATTAATATATATCTAAGTTCCACTTATAAATGCCATAAAACAATGTTGTAAACAAGAAGTAAAACCCTAAAATAATATATTCACTAAGAAAATATTTTTAAAACACATAATATGACATTATTATCCTTATTAAAAAAAATGTGCCACATAAAATGAGGCGTCCCAATTAATGGAACGTGTGGCCCTAATGGACTCCTCACATGGGGACCATGCCCATGGTCCTCCAAGTGTGTCCAATCTATCTTTTGAAAATTTCTTGAATGCCCTCACAATTTTAAAATTCCAAAATTACCCTTTTTGAGTTTTGACACATTTAAAATTCGTTTTTAAAATTCTGAAAATTTTTCAAAATTCATTGTAACACATTTTTAGTTGAAACCAATATTTTCGGAGTTTCAAAAAAATCTAAAAAACACATAAATACAACTTACAAGTGCATAGATACCTTATAGGTCATATAAGAACTGAATACCATAGTACTCCACCCATGCCACAATCATGCACCACTACTGTCTTCTCAAACTGACCCAAAGGGACCTATGACCCACAAGTATAGGAGCTCATGATTGAACGGTCAAAGTTTGCTAATAATCTCAGAATGTGGATTACAGGTCCCCTCCTAACAGCAAGTTAAATGCATGCACAAAGCAAGGGGGGCACTCTCTCTATGCACATGTACAGGTGTCCCTCTATATAGGGTTGCTTGCAAAAATGTGGATGTCATATATACATGGCATACGAAATTTTTGTCAATGATTTGGCCCTCACTCTCACAGGCCCTTTCTCTGCTCACAAGAGACCACACAACTTTCTTGGCTTAAAAACAATGTATGTAGGCATCTCTCCAACCTCTAAAAAGGATGACCCACAGTAAACGCTGAATGGTAGTACCACATGCGCAGAGGTAAGGGTTTTGTACATGACCCAAGCTGCCAAACCCTAGGTCACTCAACCACAATAACCTCCCACTAAAGAGAACAAATCATTACAAATAATTTTATTTACGTGCTCTCTAAGTCTACAGTCTCTCATCTTATCGCCCATTGGAGCTACACCTAAGTTCTCTCGAAAGTATTCATTTCAAATTCTATCCCTTCTTGTCTTGCCACTCTTCCATTTCAACATCTTCACCTTAGCTACACTCATCCTATGGGTATGTTGTTTCTTGACCGCCCAACATTCTACCCCATAAAACAAAGTTGGTAAGACAACTGTCTTATAGAACTTTCCTTTCAGCTTCATTGGTATGTGGCAATCACATAAAACTCCGGTTGCACATCACTACTTCGCCCACTGAGCTCTATTCTATATGTGACATCTTCCTCAATCTCTCCATTTTCTTGGATTTTTGACCGAGATATTGAAAGTGCGCTCTTTTTGGTATTTTGTGGCTGTTAATGTTAACTACTTTCTCGTCTCTACTCCTATTATTGTTAAACTTTCATTCCACATACTCTATCTTAGTCTGGCTAATTTTAAAACCTTTAGATTCTAGAGCATCCCTCCAACGTTCTAACTTTGTGTTGACGCTGCTTCGGATCTCATCGATCAAAACTATGTTGTCTGCAAGCAACATACACCACAATTCTTCATGTTGTAGGTGACTAGATAACTCATCCGAAACTAAAACAAAGAAGTATGAATTCAACGCCCTTGGTTTAGACCTATTATCACTAAAAGCTCGTCTCCCCATTAGATGTTCGCGTGCTAGTTAGCGCTCCCTCATATAAATCTCACACCAAGTCAATAAAATATGTGGAAACTCCTTTCTTTTCCAACACCCATCAAATTAAATCTCGAGGTATTGTAACATAAGCCTTTTCTAGGTCAATAAAGACCATGTGGAGGTCTTTTCCCTTCGTATTAAACTTTTCAATCAGTTACCTAGTAGAAAAACAATCTCAATTGTTGACCTCCTTGACATAAAACCGAATTGATTTTCTGATACACTCGTTTCATGCCATAATCGCTGCTCAATCATTCTCTCCCACAACTTCATACTATGGCACATAAGTTTGATCCCTCCTTAGTTTGCAAAATTCCATATGTCTCCTTTCTTCTTGTAAATAGGTACTACAACACTTTTCCCCCATTCTTCTGCCATTGTCTTTGTTCTCAACGCCTTGTTGAACAACTTGTTTAGCCAATGAATGCTGATCTCCCCCATGTACTTCAAAACCTCTATTAGGATACCATATGGTCCTAAATCTTTTCCTATCTCCATCCTCTTCTTTCACTTCTGATATCCTAATCCTACAAATGTCTCCATGACCTCCGCCCTCATTTATACCAACAATTCCTTCTATCGTTGTGTTCCCATTATATTCATCATTTAATAATTCTTGAAAATAAACTCTCCACCTTTTGTTGAGATCTTCATCCTTCACCAAGACCTTTGATCCTCACTCAATGAATGTAATATGGTCTAGATCCCTACACTTTTTCTCTCTCATTTTTATTAATTTAAGGACATCTTGTTCACATTTTCTTGTTCTCAGTTTAATGTATAAATTACCACATACCTTAACTTTTAGTCTTACTATTTGTTTAGCATTTTTCTTAGCATTTTTTTATTCTTCAAAGTTTTGATCATTTCTATTACATTGCCAAATTTTATAACATGGTCGTTTTTTGCTAATGCCATTTTGAACCTCATCACTCCAGCACCAAGTTTCCTTATCGGAATTATTTTCCCTCTAGTTTCTCCTAAAACTTCGTTTGCCATTTTCTTAATACAATCAGCCATCTCATTCAACAGAATATTGACCTCATGTTCTGAGTTCCATTTTCTCTCTTTAAATAATTTATCCCTAAATAGGTCTAGTTTCTCATTTTTTAAATTCCACCACCTTGTTCTTGGACACCTATTAGTTTCCCCCCTTTTTCCATCTCTTTTTGCAGACGTCCATAACCACGAGCCTATATTTTGTAGTCAAACTCCCTCCTAGGGTGACCTTACAGTCTTTACATGATGGTCAATCTATTTTCTTAACTAGGAAGAAAACTATCCGGGTTTTATATGATCCACTATTATAGGCCATTAAATGTTCATCGCATTTTTTAAAGTAAGTATTTGCTATTGTTGGGTCGTAGGCCATAGAAAAATCTAAAATAGCATCCCCCATCTCATTTCTTTCACCAAACCCATATCCATCATGTACCCCCTTCATATCCTCTATTATCCTTCCCTGCATGACCATTTAAGTTCCCTCCTAAAAAGGTCCTCTCTGCATTGGTATGTCTTGGACTAGTCCATCCAAGGTTGTCTTTTAATTCTATCCTCGAATCTTACTTGTGGTGCATAAGCACTAATAACATTAATTATCTTTCCCCTAATACAAGTTTAACTAATAGGAGCCTATCACCTACTCTCTTGACATTAACTACTTTATCTTTTAAATCTTTATCTGCTATTATGCCTACACCATCTACGTCATTTTTATTATTATCTTTTTCTATATATCGAATTTTATACCTCATCTATTTTCTTAGCTTTCCCCTTTTCACTTAGTTTCTTGTAGACAAACTATGTTTACTCTCTTTCGTCTCATTGTACACACTATAACTCCATACTCTTACTTGTAAGCGTTCATATATTCCATGTGGCCAAACGAATTCTACTCCCTTGGACTAGTTGCTTTTCCCGCACTGGTTTTCAAGTATATAAGATAATATTTTTGTGTTTAAACACACAAACACTAATTTCCTAGTATTATTTGAATTTTTTATTAATTAATCAAGAATCAATATATCCATTTGAGTGTAGCTGAGAAGAGGCTATTGAGATGGATGAGTGGCAACATAAAAAAGGATAGAATTCAAAGTGAATATAATCAAGGGAACTTAAAGGTGACTCCAATAAGCGGTAAGATAAGATAAAGTAGACTTAAGTGGGCTGCCCATTTGCAGCGTCCTAGAGCATTGGTTAGGTGGGATGATTTGGTTCAAGTGAAAGGTTCTAAACAGATAAAGGGAAGGCCCTAAAGGACAAGGATGGAAGTAGAGGGAAGTGACTTATGGTCTGAGTGAAAGTATGACCCTTAATAGAGTGAAATAACACAACAGGATTCGTACTAACCAACCCAATATTGTTGGGATAAGGCTCAGATAATAATGGTGATCATTAATGAATATATGATTAGTATTTAAAAGCTCTATGGGTGTCTACAAAACCTACTTAACATCATTCCTAGTTTTTGAGAACCCAATATAACAACCTTATTTTTAAAAAGAATTCATTATTAATAAATCAGGTATTTTTACTTTCTTTAATCAATCTAGAACCTCAGTAAACCTCAACTACTTCACCTTGATTCCAATACCCATGGGGAACCGTGATTAAGGGCACTCAATGCATCGATTTTTATACCATGGGAACCCTTGTCTAGGTCTTTAAGACTGTCGAGGACATCGATTCCAATACTACGGGAACCTGACTAAGCATACTCAACACATTGATTCCAATACCAACGGATTCTTAGTCAAAGATACTCTAGAACTTCGAACCTTTTACCTTATGAAACCCATTTCTTGATGATTTTTGACACGGTTGCTAGTGGTTGGCTGTGCTAATCCCAATAGGTAGGAATCTCATTTTCAATTAGGTAGAAGTATGATTCCCCAAAGGTATCAATATAGATTTCAGTTACATTCATTGTAGGAACGACACTTCCTACTATAGGAAGTTTCTAGCCTCTCGGAATTCCCCACTTCTGATCCCTAAAATGCTTGTAAAGCTTCCAACAACAAGTGTGAAACCTAAAATAGGAGTAGTCTTGGTTAGAGGGTAGGTTAGGAATAAGAATTTTCGAGCTTTTACTCGGTATCCAACATAGGAGCCAGAGTAACATTTTTTTTCAATAATACGACAAAATTTTTATAGAAGGCATCAACCTCATACTAAAGATGTAAGAAGCACCTAAAAAGCGATGCTAGAAAACCCTCCCATTGATTACCTTGATCTCAAAATGTATGTATACGAACAAAAAAAGGATTTCAAATCCTAAAAACATGCGTTTTCATAACATATTATCTAAATAATCCATTTTTAAGATTTTCAAGTAGTTATAGAACAGCTCGACTCATGCCATTTTTTGACCTTTAAATTTCATATTTACAAGTGGAAATAGATTTTCAAGCCATCCTAAGGATTTATGACACCAAAACTGCACCTTTCCGCAAAGTTTGGAGGTGCACTTTACTTTGATTTTTTAAGTTTTAATTCGCATAAGACTATTATTTTCAATTTTTAGCATGATGTGAAACCCCAAAATTAGATAATTGGTAGTTTCGAAAATGAGCAGTATTGAATTACATAGGGGCATTTTTTAAATTAATATGACTGAACAAGGTAACTTCAAAATCTGACACATGACCATCCCCCAAAGACTCATATTGTGTATTAGTATAGATAATTCAACCATCCCTTTTTCACTTAGATTCTTATATTCTAAATAATATTTATACATCCTTTGATATTGCTATGCTTCGACTAATATTTATTCTCCTTATAACAACAAACTCTCAGATACCACATCATCATCATCATTTTAGCTTTTTCCCAATTAATTGGGGACAGCTACATGAATCCTGGTTCTCCATTATGCTATCTTAAAGGCCATATCCTCAGTGAAGCCATAAGTTCCCATATCTTTTCAGACTACTTCTAACCACATCTTTTTCGGCCTACCCCTTGCTCTTTTAGTCCTTCTACTTGAACTAACTCGCACCTCCTAACAGGTATTGTACTTGATCGACGCCACACATGACTAGCCCACTTAAGTCTACTCTCTCTCATTTTATCACCTATTGGTGCCACAGCTAAATTCTCTCGAATAGATTAATTTCGAATTCTATCCCTTCTTGTCTTACCACTCATTCATCTCAACATCCTCATCTTCGTTACACTCACACTCAGATACCACATGATAATGAAAATTGAATGAAACAGGTTCCACATAAGCAGACACTTTACATGCAGAGTTCCACAATTTGTCATTTTCTACTAGTTATAGTGTTTCAAAAAGCGCTAGGCGGCACCTAGACGGTCGAGGGGGTCCAGGCCACCCAGCGCCTAGGCAAGCGCCCAGGCGGGTGCCCAGAACCTGAGCGGCCCAATAAAATTTTTTTTTTTTGGGGTTTTCTCTCTCTAAAATAGCCTCTAATGAGTTCTAGGTTTCAAATGAAACTAAAACCCATAATTTTTCCCTTTGGTATTAAACAAATTACCCAAAAATACCCTTAAGGAGCCGCATTTCCTCCCCTCGGCGGGGCGCAAACCTTGGGCGGTGGGTTCCTGAGCGCCTAGGGATATCCGCCTAGTTTGGCCGCCTAGGCTTGGGCGATGCGCCCAGGCCTTCTGGACTGCCTAGGCGGCCGCCCAAGCACTGGGCGGTCCGTTTTTGAAAACAATGACTTGTTATGAACTTCATGCGAGCTTTTCCTTCCATTCTCTATGTATCTCATTTCGTTCATTACTTGTTGTTTGTTTAATCTCGGCAGCTATCAGACAGTTACCAATCAGATGGGCACACAACTAACAAACTTGGTTATTCTATGTTTATTTATGTATTTAGACTGCAAGGCAAGGTCTTGTTTTTCATTATATAAAGTCCATGAAATTGATGCAAGAATTGTTGGAAATGTTTCTCCCAAGAATTTATTTTTCAATAATGGTACAAAAGCCATATTGTCTAGTATATGTGAAATCCCATGTGGTTGACATGAGGTACTGTCATATAGTAGGATCCATTTTAGAGCTTTTATAGGATGTTGCACTGGAAGGGAAAACCCAGTGTCACTGGAGGGAAAACCCGGTGATATGTTTGGATTCCTTGTAAGAATTGTTTTTCTATAATATAGCTCCACAAAATTATTTAGTTTTTAAATATCGCTATATCAATTGTAGGAATGCTTGGATGACATCCCATTATGTGAGCAATTAGTGTACTAATGACAAGTTTAGCCCATTACATAGGATTAACAGTTTGGTGACAACTTGTTAATCCTAATTAGCTGCACTTAAGGGAGTTAAGGCAGGAGTTATACTTGGATCTCAACTCCTATAGACCATGAATGTGAGAGTTACAAACTAAATGGTCTCCATAAAAAAAGGTTAAACCCTCAAGTAAAGATAAGATAGAGAATGATGGAAAAGGGGTGAATGAGATTCACCAAAGAGGACTCTCAAAGTAGCTTGTCACTGGATGGCTTGGTCTATAGGTTTTAGTATAGAACCTTAAGTCCCTCGTGTGATTTAAGGACAGATCCGAGTAATTTGTTTATCGATTTTATTTATTTATTTACTTTCTTTATTGGGAATAATAAGAATCATGACATTCCCAGTCAAAGGTCAAACAAATAATATGAAATCCAAACATAGCTTAGTAGTAATTCCATAATGGAAGTTCAATTATACATACCGAAGACATAACATGAGGCAGAGTCCTCTTCAAAATTGCCTCAATTGTTGCTCGTAGAACATTCTGCTTGCCTAAATAATTGATGAGAATATTATCTGGAATCTTCTTTCCAGGACGAAACCCAGGAACCTGTTAACAAAGCAGAGTTCTCAAAAAAAAAAAAAGCCTTACACCAGATCATTATCCGGTGGATATTGAATACACTAACAAAAGATAACTTCCACAATCTTGAGATCCTCACCATGGCTTCAAATGAAAATAAGAGGCCATTTATATTCCAAGAATTTTAACTACCCAAGAAATTAAAGATAACTTTTCACAATGCATAATGTTCATAAAAGAGAATTGGAACTAAATCTAGATCGCTTTTTATGAAGGTATGCTTCCATAGAGGAATATGAATTGAACATTTCTATTTCCAGAGAGATGACTGTGAATGCTCATAATCAGATGATTTCATATTGAAACAGTGCGTCCAACTTCCAAAGAGAGGAATGCAACAAATCCAAAATGAAATGATAAATGCCTCATGAGGGTCTGTAGGTCAACAACTTACTCTTTGCAAACATTATTTAGCTAATAGCTTACTCTCCGCATCAATCCTTTTCCCCAAAGAAAGAACTCAAAATTCCTCTCTCACACATAACATACGCACACACACAAAAGGAGAGATAATTAAACAAGATCAACAGAGATATACATTGAGAAATGAGAAACCTAGATCAAAATGGATATAAAAATAAGTGAGCATTTCTCAACATGTGATTTTCATCAAAGTATCTAAAAGACATAAGAAGTAAACTCAAGACTACCATTCAGTGTCAATCTTAAGGATCCAGAACCAGACAATTTCACTTCCACTTGCAGTCTTTGAGAGAAATAGATCTTGGATGGAGCTGTAGTCATAGATTCATTTGAGACAAAAAGAAAGAAAGCCAGGGTGATTTGCAAACTTGACCTCGAAAACAGATATGACAGAGTTCATTAGATTATCTCAAGAAAAATATGTGATTAACAGAATTTGGAGATAGATGGAGAAACTGGATAGCAGCGTCCTTATCTAATGCGTACTTCTCAAAGCTAATCAGTGGATCCCCTAGAGGCTACTTCTCAAGCCATAAAGGACTGAGGCAAGGGTTCCACTTTCCCCCATCCTGTTTGCTATAGTTGCCTAGACTTTCAGTGGCATGTTAGATGGGGTATACACTTCTTAGAATTTATCAGCATTCTGCCCATCCTCTAATGGTACTATAGTGTCACATCTATAATATGCAGATGACCCTTTGCTATTTTGAAATGTAAAAACTGAATAAATAAAGAATATATGGATGAGCTTGAGATGGTTTGAAGATGATCAGAGTTAATATGAAAAACAAAAAGATTTTCAGAATCGCCTTAAAAGAGAAACAGCTATAGATCTTAGCAGCTATGTAGGGCATGGGACTGCTATACCAGAGAACAAATACCTGGGCCTTCCCTTATATGGCAAGCCTACTAAAGGTAGTGGCAGGATGTAGTAGAAAGGATTGAGAAAAACCAGTGCCATGGAAAATGAAATACTTAGGAAACGAGACTAATCATCACAAAACTATGCTAGTAAATCGTCCTATTTACTGATGTCCTTAATTCCGCATGCCAGTGTGTGTAGTGAATCACCAAAAACGAGTAAGATCCATCTGGTCAAATCGGATAAGGCGTGTCTACTAAGATTAAAAGGGGAGTGGGAATTAGAATGATCAAAGAAACAATTATGGCGTTGCTATCTAAAGTGATGATGGAGACTAGGCAATCAAGGAGGCCATCGACGGAAGCAAGTAGTGCAACATAACCATGGAAATGGATGACACACCTTCGCTGGTCGAGGCTGCCAGGAAACAAACTATCTGGGACCTTGTGCAGAATTAATAGATGGCGAGAGATACAAAGATGCGAGGAGCGAACCGAAGAACAACAAGATTTTGGCTTTGACCCATGGCGTGGGCCTCAAATCATCAAATACAAGTTCCCTAGCCTATTCATAAAAGCCATGAAACCTGCTGCCAAACTTCAAGATGTGGTACAAGGTAATGGATGAATGCCACATGAACTATCCAACTAAGGCATGTGTTAAAAGAAAATGAAGTGGATCCTAATGAGATTTCTAGCACAGCAACAAAGATATTTTATATGCCAAGAATCTGGATGCCTGATTCTAATGGATAATTTTTAGCTAAAATCATGTACCAGATCCTAACAAGATTTTCTATGAAATATGCAGTTATCAGAAAATGTAGCTTATCCCTGCACCAGCCAAGACTTGGATTGACAGTTAGCTGCCCAAAACAAGGTGCTGACCATTGACCACCTTATGAGCCTAGGATTTGCCATTCCAAATATATGCATGATGTGCAAGTAAGCCTTGGCCTTTCAAACTACTTTTATTGAGCCTTATTAGGGTACCCCTCCCTCAAATGAAGCCCTGTTGTAACAATGGCATAATTCACCTTTGGCAAAGCCGGGAGTTATTTCATGGAGGTTTACCTTATTAACTTTTCTATGGCTAATTTGGAAGGAGATATGGTCACTGTTTCAAGAACCAAGAAGAAGGGGAAGAGAGGAAAAACAAGGAATGAATACTAGGGATATTCACCAAATGACTTCGAATTAAAATGGGGAGAGAATGTGAGGATGAATCACCAAGGGAGCTTCAAAGTGGACAACCTCGCCTAGGGGTGTAATGAAGCTGAACCATAGTTACGGGAAGCTCCTTCCTTAGGGGATGCTCTTGCTCTGGGAACACATTTGGCATGGAGCTGATCCTACTTAGGAGCTCACTCCTGATTATATGAGATATGATCCTATTTAGCATGGAGCTCGATCCCATTTAACATGAAACCATGATCCTGATCCATAGTCAATACCAATATTATTTAACTTTTTTTTTTTAGTGATTGATACACAATTAGACGAATTGTCAAATATGATGACTACATCACTAAGTCACTACACTATTGTTTTGTGTGTGCCTACGTCTATAAGAACACTATAGAAGGACTATGGTGGTTTAATGATAAATTTCAGTTCCATTTCTGGCAATGGCCCTATGTTATGAATTATTTCTTTATGGGACTCTCTTGCCATGGAATTTCTGTGGTGCATGTGTATATAATATTAGGAAATGAATCGTTTGTTTTCAATTTCTCTATAACTTAAAATATACAATATATAATGTATACTATGTGCTATATACAATATAAGATAATATATGAATTCTAGAAGCACTCCCTAACATGCATTCCAAGAACATATATAATGTATATGATAGGGAAAATTATAGATACACCTCCAATTTCAACTTTCTACACATCCTACCCCCCAATAATTTTTTTATTATACCCTACACCCCAACACAATTCTTCCTTGTATTTACCCTCCGAGTCAAATTGTCAAAGCATTTTGAGATCAAAATGCCCTTTTTCTCTCTGTTCCCCTTTTCAACATATTTTTTTTATATTTCTTACCAAAAAACTCTCACACATCCTCTCTCTCTTTCTCTCTCCACCTTTTTCTCTCTCTCTCTCTACCCTCTCTCACTCTTTCTCTTTACCCTCCCTCATTCTTTCTCTCTATCCTCCCTCACTGTTTCTCTCTCTAACTTTTTCTCTACCCTCCCTCACTCTCTTTCTCTCTCTACCCTCCCTCATTCTTTCTGTATCTACCAGTAACATGCCCATAATGCGGTCCGGCATGTTCTTGTGTTGGACCGACAAATTTTTGCAGTTTAGCACAAAAACGTGCCGGACCGCAAAAACAATTTTGGTACGGCACAAAAACATGTCGGATCACATTATGGGCATGTGAAAGTTATTGGAATCCATTGCGATCCGGTATGTTTTTGTGTCAAGCCGAATTTTTTTTGCGGTTCGTCAAGTTTTTATGCCGGACCGCAAAAATAAAAAAATTTGGCCCGACACAAAAATGTGTCAGACCGCATTATGGGCATGTGAGTGGTAGAGAGAAAAAGAATGAGGGAGGGTAGAGAGAGAAAGAGAGATAGAGAGAGTGAGAGAGGGTAGAGAGAAAGAGAAATGGGTAGAGAGAGAAAGAGTGTATGGGTGGAGAGAGGTCAACAGAAAAAGTAAGAGAGGGTCACATGTCTACAAGGACAAAGAGAGAAAAAATGGGAAGAGAGGGAAATAGGGCATGGGCTTTTTGGTTTCAAAATGCTTTGATTATTTGACTGGAGCGGTAAATACAAAAAAAATAATGTTGGGGTTTAAGATATAATAGAAAAAGTATTTGGGGGTAGGATGTGTAGAAAGTTGAAATTGGGGGGGTATCTATAATTTTCCCTATATTATACATAATACATATATTCTAGGGACACTCACTGACAAGTGATCTCATGAGCTCTTGAGTTTAAGGAATTTAGGCAAGGGATAGTCCCCCTACCCACACTTCCAACAACTATGAGCTGAAATTTCATAGCAGATCATCAGCAATCTTGGAACGCAAGGTGGTAGGGATTCTAAGAAATGATGAAGAAAAGATTGTTCTAAGGTAGCCCACTCCCTGAGTGCAATGCAAATGAAGCAGAGGAATGAACTCTACTAACTGGATGAGGAATTTAGAACCTAGTTGGAGGGAAATACTTATCAAAGGATACTCGGCAACAACCATTCCTTGAGCCAGAAACAGATAAATAAATAAAGACAGAAAAAAACTACCCATGGAAATTACAAAGCATTTTTTAAAAGAGTTTTGCTCAAACAAGCTCTTTGTGCCACTTTCCAGCTCAAACAAGATTTGGAGGGAGTCAAACCAACTAGTGGACTCATTGCCAAAGAAGGCACATCTAAGTCTTCATTAGCACTTAAAGTTTAAGTCTTAGGAGGATAGTTTCAGCAATCAGCCATCAGGAAGTTGGCACATAGCTGAGTCCAGACTCCATTTGTATATGACACACATGTAAAGCAAATTTTGACTAATGAAAGCAGCTAACATTAAAAAAAAAAAAGTAAAATAAAATTAAGGGTATGTGAGCATAACAATGTCTTTCATTTAGGTTAAGGTATTAACAATGATAAGCAAATGGGCGATCATAATGAAGACACATATTCATATCATAGCTCAACAATGATTTGTTTCATTGTTTTTCTATTTCTGTAAAATCTGAATGTTGACTTAGAAATTAGAATACAAACTCAAAATTTACCTTTGTCTGCTTCGCAAACTCTAACAGAACCCTATTATAATACTCTTGGCAAACACTTGGAGGAACACTTGCGCTTAGCCTTACCTGCAATTATGTAATAATTGAGAATTAGGCTTCATAGCTTAAAAGATACAATCTAGTCTAGCAGTAGCAAATAAAAATCTTATTGTACGCAAAATATACCAACTTCTAGGATCAGCTAAATGCATACATGTGAAGCAACACATTGTGAAACAACTAACACAGATATGGGTGTAATGTCTAGTAAGTAGCAAGTTGTGCAGTATGCTGGGCCAAAAAGACATCACAGCCCAAGACTTCCATACCAATATCTTCTATTATATATGTAAATTACATAAAGAACTAAAGAAGGAAAAATGTTACACGCTACCATGGGAGCAGGTTTTGCATTTGTTACTCAGATAAAAACTTACTTAGGGTGATTTTTCTCGTCCCAATTCCAGGGGATAGTCCCAACTTATCCTAGAGATCTGCTCTCAACTTATCCTAGAGATCACTTGCAAATAAATAAACATACAAATAAATAAATTTAAATTTAAGAAATGTTGAAAGAAATCCCACCTCCAACCATGAATACAGACCACCCATTGTTTGGACATTTAGATCAAGTTTCTCAAGACCTTAAAGTCAACATTTTCCTATCTTTTTAATTTCATCATCAAGTCAATAACAAGCTAGTGTTCAACAGTTTCAATAAAAAAACAAGCTAGTGTTCAAATTTTTTCTAGATAAAAAAACTTTCCCACGGTAGCATGTGCATAATCTGCTCCAGAGGGAGCACTCTATAGCAACCATTAAAAAATAGTAAAAATAAATTATGAAAATATTAAAGAAACTATAATACTTAAAATGGTTCTAGCAAGAAAAATTCTAAATTAGAGACTGAGTTTATACTTGTCACTTTTGGATTTTTCAAACATATACATGTCCCATTGGGTATAAATATTACAGTTCGCAAACTAAGTACTCATAAGTACAAGTCATAGAATGGATAGAGCACTTCTTCACTTGCCAAGAGGCCGTGGGATCAACTCGCACCATTGATGTTGACTTTTTGTTAAATGGAAGCTCACAGGGGTGTCTCACAAGCAGACACTTCTGAAAACATACTGGAACTCCATGTCAGAGCCTGTCAGCAAGCTGAAACATACAGACAATATGTCCATCCCGTTTCAGTGTGTGTTGACATATGCGATCATTAAAATATGAAGTACAGCCTTCTAACAGAATTTTTCACATTGGCATGACAAGCTGAAGCCTACCAAATACAGGAAAGAACAAGAGCATGCCAATATGTACGATTGATCCCTGGGCACATTGCACTTGTATAACAGAAGCCTGATCAAGAAAGAAATGATGAAAAAAATATAAGTGCAAAAATCATTTCAATAAGTTAATATATACTGCACAAACTCTCACAGCAAATGTTTCTTTTTATGTTTTTTTTTTATAAGAAAAATGTTTGTTTTTATGTTCTAAGCAATTTACAACTAAAGCTAGAGAAAGAGGCATATCAAACCAAATTGATTGACACAGCTTTACCGATAATGTCAACCAATATCCTTGCGCTCAATTTGGAAAACGGAGTTTGCTTGTCAATTTGGAATCAGCAAGGAATACCTAGTTCTGAAAGGAAATAGCTGGAACAAGAGGACAATGGCTATATTTCCAAATACAAAATGATGAGCTAGCTGGAAAATGGATTCTTGCAAATGACAGGATGTGATCTGTGGTTGAGAGATTTTTCTCTTCCACCAGAATTTTTGAACAAAATCGTGCACTCTGCAATAGCTTTAGGCGATTTTCAGGTTGTCAGGTGATGCAGGGGCTTTAAAAAGGCATCTCTCAGAATCCCGATTGCAACCTAGATGATAGAAAGAATGTGTTTATGATTTTTCCCAAGAGGATTGGGTGGACCCTGAACCAATTTTACAGGATATAGTAGCTAGTGAGAGTTTTCAAGCATTTGAGTCCCTTTCTGAAAAGTTTATGCGAGAAGGTCAAAGTTCAACAAAGGCAGTTTGGTAAAGGAGACATCAAAGAATATTCTCAGAAAAGTCCATGTAAAATTTGTGTGTGCATGTATTTCTGTTGTTGTTGTTGATGATGCTGTTGTTTTTGTTGTTCTTGTTGTCCTACTTGTGTGTGCTTGTGTGCATGCGTGTGTGATGGTGAGGGGACGCGCAGGGAGAGGGAAGCAACATGTTTCCAACTAAAAGTTGGGTCTAGAGAAATGTGAATCTTCTCAGGTTTTGGGCTTTCATGGCTTGCATACGGACAAACTCCTCAACATAAACCATCTCCAAAGAGGGGTCTGGTTTCCCTAAAAATATTAGGAATCTGTACACCAACTATACATGGTGAGCTACGTACTTCACATCCTTCAATATTGGTCAAGGTAAACATGGATCTTCTTTTCCCTGATGCAAATTTGGGAGAATACTAATTGGAACTAGAAGGGCACGGTTCTTTGATGGTCATCTTTGCTATATCCTGCATGGAATGTTTAAAAGGGAGGGAATAATTGTATTTTTCGTGGCAGACCTCTTAATACAGATGGATTGAATGATCGATAGAGATCTTTTAGGCTCACCAAAACTCCCAAACGAGGAGTTTCAACAAAAAGAAATCTTCAAGAATTCTAGATGAGGGTCATTAGATGAGTGTCACAGTTAACAGATTCAAAAAAAAAAAAATCCAAGATGAGGGTCACTAGGAATGGAATAACTATATCCCAAGCTCATGTGGGATGGAGTATGCCCCACAAGATGCCTTAGAAATGAACTTTAAGGTGGCTATGAAACACAACTGTGATCTTGCGAGCATTGGAGAAGTTCAAAGAAAGTATTCAAGACATTTCTCCAATGTCATGGACCATTAGGTTTTGAATATGTCACTTGGTCAAAGTATATGCCACCCTACAAGTCATCCAGATCACCAGATGACACCTTTGGGACTTGGCCACAATGGACTCAACTATAATATTAGGCATGTTACCTTGGAAATCAAAAAATGACCTTTCATCAAATATCTGTATTTGGACTCTGACTACATCATGAGGGAGGCAACTGCTTGTCAAATATGAGTGTAGCCATACTAAGTTTGGAGTTCTTAGGTTTCATTCATTCATAATTCTCCACAAATGTTTTTGGAAATTCTATGATTTGCTACAGAAAAGCTTACTACCAATTAAAAAGAAAGAATGTTAGCAATTTGAGAATCTTACGCTTGAAGATAGATTTGAAGTGAAAATCCAACAAAAGAAAGTATTTTTCATTTTGAAATTACTCCTTTTAGGCAACCCCATGTAATTAAGGAAAAGAATGATAAATGACCCATATAATAGGTTGAAAGATCATAGTTAACATCTAATCCCATTAGAAGCAATCAGTACAGTTTCTCCATCAATTCTGATAGTTCAACTCTTTAAAATGTAATAAACTCGAACACTATTTCTCAATGATCACACAAACTAGTTCCAGTTCACACACTGTTCACCTTTCAAGTGATTGAACTTCTAAATCGCTACAGCATGCTTCAACGCTATGTCGCATGGATAATTCAATTTGGTGTTCCATATGCATTTCAGATAGTTTAGAAGCATATGAAACGAACAAATATTGACAAACAATCCACAGATGCATGAACAAAAATTGACTAACAATCGACAGATATATTCATGCATCATAACTTCGGTGACTTATCTATTGACTCAAAGATTTTTATTTAATAGGTGTTTGTCACAATTACCTGCCACACGTATAAAAGAAAAGTCGACAATAAGTGCAATTCTCACACTGTGGATACATCAACTCTAACAGTGTGAATGCATGCACAATACTCGTCCGAAAAAAAAGTGTGTAAAGTGCCACAACTCTATCGCATTGGAAAAGAGTATCCAAATTCTCAGAGATTCAAAATACATTTCTTATTCACTTAGTAAATCTTACTACAAGAATTTTTAGGTGTTTTTCCCTTACATCAAACAAGTTGATTCATATTAAAAGAAACCTAATGCCTAAACAACTTCTCTCCTTTTTTATCAAGGTACTAGCGCAGGGAGGTACAGTGCATCTTCACCATCCAAAATAATGCTGGAAATATGGTGATTTCATTCAAAACAATACTAGAAATTTTCAATGCAGTTAAACAAAATTTTAAAATAAATTTCAAACAAAACAACCAACTAAAATTATCAATTAGGTTTGACTAACAGGCATAACCAGATTGCTGTCTTTAAGATAATTATTGCCCCGACATGGATATCTTCAAAGACACAACGGGTTCAAAGCAATATTAACTCTATAGCAACTGTCATGGGGCTCATGCCCATTAAAACCTATGTAACAATTGCAACTCCTATGCAAAATGGGCCTCATGTTGCAGCTATTATGGTGTTATGGGCTCTCGCCCATTAAAATATTCTACTATGATTTATGGAAATCATGCCCATTACAACCTGTTGTACCAATTATTGTAACTCCTGCTGTAATGATTGTAATTCTTTTGCATGTTGACCTACCCATACTCTAACCCCCATAGGAATCTGTTTATGTATAGTGCACATTGCCCTATGATTTGTAGAGTGCGAAAAAACATATGTATTTACTTTATATTGTGCTTGAACATTACTTTCTATCTCTCTTATCTCTCAATTTTAACATGATATCAGAGCAAAGCTTGAAACCCTAGAATATCCATTATTTACAGCAATCCAAGAATCATAACTTTTCTTCTTTCTTGGGCTTGACGTTGTGGTGTATCAGCAACTTCTTATTCCAAGTAAGATTATCTCACTTTCCGTTGCCAAAAGTAACTTTTATCCTTAACTCTTTCCATTTCCAGCCCAAAAAAAAAACTAGTCTCTGACTTATCCCACAAAAAGTTATACAAGTATATTCCATACCTATCCCATAGCTTTCTTGCCCAAAGCACAGGGTTTTAAGTTTAAGAGAGAAGGAAAATGTTAGAAAGCAAGCACAATATTTCCTTGGCAAGCAGATCACTACAGTTAAGCTAGATAGGAAAAACTACAACTCCAATCTGCCAAAATGTTCATAGGA